TAGGTACTCAATGAATGTTAGATAAATTAAAAGTTTGTTTCAATGCTGTTCTCTATCCTCCTTGCGTTTTTGCCCCACCAGTCCTCTTTGGGCTTTGCAAATGAAAGAAACAAAAAGTAAAGCCAATGCACAGAACATCACAGCTGGTTGAAACAAATGAATATAATGTGTTGCCACTATTTATAAATGATTTTTAATGATTCAATTGTTTTTCAAGATCTCAATAAATAATGGCAGGAGGAAATGTTCTAATATATTTTGGAATAACTGAAAACATATTTAACCATCACCGTACAAGGATCTTTTCCTCCTCGAGACTTAAAATATTTGAATTACTCACTGGCCACCTAAGACATTTGTGGTCCTCAAATTAAAGATGAAATTAAATTTATTTCACTATTCACTGTGATCAATGAGAACAAGCTTCTTAGTTGTTAATTACTAGAAAAAAGATAACATTTCAGAAATGCTTAAACAAAATAAACCATTATCAGAAAATGGTTTTCTTCCCATCAAAAATTCACAATAACAAGAAAATACATCTGTACTCCTGAGTGATACAACATTGTCCCCTTTTATTTTTTTTAACACAGTGTGTAAAAAGCAGACAAAAATCAACCTGTCAAGAAATGGTTTACTCAGTAATGGGCTAGCCCTGCAGGGGATTCATTCTGCTTTCACCGGGAGAGCCCTTTGCGTAACAAGAACAAACCATTAAGGTTTTAATGACACTGCCATCGCATATCAGAACACCGAAAAAGGAGCAAGGATCCTTTTCACCAACCTGCTGCAGTTTCCACCACAGCCACCACGAGAATGACCATCCCCATCATCCTCAAACGGGCAACTGGGTGGGAGATGGGTTTTTCTGACTTTAGCCCTGCCTTTGACTCAGCTTTTCCTCATTTCTTATAAGATCTTGAAGGACCCAGCTTTTGGCAGGAGTAACCATAAGGCACTTACTAGGCCCAGAAGGGACAAGTGGGCCTCAGGACCGGAAGCAGATTTGTTCCTGGAATCCCTCCCTGCCCACATCGCCTCTCAGACAGCTGTAGGAAGACTGAATTTGGTACCCAACTGTACCAGACCGGTCTACTTTGCAGCGTGGTTGTTTCTATACACTCTCAGCTGCCCACTTGTCTGCACAAGGCGTGATGTTCTGTGGTTGGCACCTGCTGATTAGGGTAATTATAGCATTAGTGGAAGCAAGCATGCCATCTAAGGTTGAAAAACAACTCTAATTACAACTCCATCATTTTACTCCCTTAGAACGCTTTCCTTTTTTTTTTTTCCTTTTACACAGAGCTTACTTGGAGATTAAATGAAATCTGCATCTATTTGAAAACAAGCCCTGAAATAGTTGTGGGACTAGAGGAGGAAATCACCTTTCAAAATTAAAAATATCTACAGGCTGAAGTGAACATGTGATATTTGTAACACCAGACAGCACTTGCTGAATCACCTTTCAGTAGATTTCCCATGTATTTTTGCGTGGATAGAATTAAAACAAGTAATAGGAATAATAAGAATAATACTTCAAGGAGAAATATGAAATCCAAATAGTATTGAATAGAGGCAAAGAAGTTTTAAAATCCTTTTACGCCTACTGACCAATTTAACAGTGGCATTATGTAAAATATTAATGTCCAGAAACCCAATTTCATATCCACAATGCAAATATGTAACTTTTATATTAATATAACTATAAAATTGGTATCAAATTCTCTTACTAGTTTACCGAAAAAACACCCCACCGTTTTTAGATTTAAAAAATAATCTATGACCCACGGTCAAGGGGGAACAGATTCCAAGGAATGAATGTGATTAAATCCTACTTTACTTTATCAGAATTGTATGATTTGGGGTATAATTTGAGTACTGTAGATTACTGAATTAGGCTGTGAATTATCAACCACGAAGCCTAAAAATAAGGGGAAAGAAGAAGGTTGCTTGGGGAAAAAATCTTTTCAAATCAGCAAGGACTGATGAGTTAGACACATCCACTCTTGTGGCCCAGAACTTGGAAACAGGGCCTTTAAATACCACTTTTAGGACCCAGATCAGCTGCCCCTTCCTCTCACTATCGTATGCAGTAGGGCTGCTTCTGCCTGGTGCCAGAATAGAAGCAGGCCCCAGGGAGCTGAGGCAAGGATGGCACATACTGTCCTGCCCTGGGCCTGCCACAGTCCACGAAGAACATCACTAGACCATCTTCTGAGTGCTAAAGAGATTGCCAGAAATGTGACTTTTTGAGTTCTCATACTGACATCAAAATCATGGGTCCAGCCCAATCTCTAAGCTTTCTGTAAGAAAACGCCAACATATCTAGTGATAAGTAGAGAGGAAATCTAATTACCAAGGTTGATTCAAACAGACCTCCCCTACCCTTGACACATAAAACACCATGACTCAGATCAGAGAAGAAAAGAATTTCTGGATAATCAAGAATATGGCAGCCCTCTGCTTGCTGGAAGAAAATCTCCCCCATTATCTATGATGTATGCGTGCTTTGTTGTTAGTAAAAATGAAAACGAATGTAGTCATTCCCACTGGGGACAGAGTCATGGACTGTCATTGTTCCCTGGGAAGAACTTGAACTGGAAGTGATTTCAAGACTCTAACTATAGCAGAAAAGACAGTAACAAAGGCCACATCACTAAACAACTATATAATCATTTTACATTCTCAAAAGAAAGATGAAAGAAGGATCTAAGAATGCTCCCATGTTGTATTATTAACTACCTTTTTCCACATTTATCTACTTCGTCTTCAAAGAAAGAAAAAAATTCTCCTACCAGTTTTATTACCATGATGCCACAACATTTCTGAGTACAACACAAAATGAATAAGATCCAGAGTCACATCACAGAATATCTTATTTATTCAGAAGAATAAATAAAAAGCAGCATTAACCATATTAACTGCTTTAATCACTTCCTTTAATCTCTGTAATTTAAGCTATTTTTTTTACATAAAACACAATGAAAGTTGAAAATAGCACCAACTCACCTTAAGAGGCAGAAAAAAAAAATCTTCCCTTGAAGATTACAAACTTTTATCAGCATGTCTGCCGCAAGCCTTATTATTTCCTCCCTCGTTTGCCTAAGTAAGTTGGGTGTATCACTTACAGATGAAGTATAAAGTCTTTATTAACAACTAATGGAATCAAACCTTGATTAAAAACCACCATCCCAGCTCTAAAATTTACAAAATCTCATTACCTTTGTTTAAAATATTCTGATAATTCAAATCATGGCTAGGAGCACTTATTAGATTTTTAAAACAAAATCGATATCAAACAGGTCGTGCAATGTGAGAGTAAGCACAGGCTTTTGCCATGACTGGTTTTTAACTGAATTACTAATGTTTCAATTAACAAGTACTACAGAGAAATATAACACCATCATTACCCTTAGTAAACAGGAGGACACAGTTACTTTTCCAGATGTCTTCTGTTGTCATGGTATCCTATTATGCCCTCTCCCTCTCATATTTTTATTCTAAGTAACAGACCTGTAAGTTATTGAGCCTAACCTATGGTTATATGAAGATTGTATATGTTCCTGAGACTCTGCACACACCTGTTGAACAGAATCAAAGAAGCAGTATAAGAAATTATTTAGAATAATACTTTCTATTAAAACGGGGATAAAATTCTTAGTTCACGTAGTTGATGAAAACCAGAAGTCATCAATTCCTATCTTCAGAATAATATTCTCCCTTCTAAAATATTAAATTTACCTTTATTTAAAAATGATATTGCAATGCCTGAAATAAAATTAACCGCATTTTAAGTGTACTATATCCATCTTTAGATTAAAAAAAACTTAACATGACACTAAATATTAGGAAAAATATTTCAAATTTAACAACATTTTCTGCTAGCTTTTGTGAACAGCAAACAAAATAAACATACCAAAAATTTTACATTTTATATTTCATTCTACTGAAGTAATGTTTTAAACATCCTGCTTTTTACAGATTAATTTTTATCCTTTAGTGATGATCTCTTGAAAACAGAAGAAGGTACCACTATTCATGCTATGAGATACAATGCTTTTGTACCACCCTTTTAAAAAATTAATTCAGTTTCTCTTCTATACAATACAGTATCTGCTGTCAACTCCTCTGAATGTAAAACATAGGTACACACACCAGCACGCACACACGCTGATGTTCTTAATGATGTCTCCTAAGTTGAAGTGGTGTGCCCTTGTTCTCTAGGAGCAACAGGAGGGCTCTGCACTCTCTTCTGGAACAGTTCTTTCCCTCTAGGCTAAAGGAAAACAAATAATATTTAACTACTAAAAATGCATATGCAGCTAAAGTTTTTATCAACTGTAGTTCTCTACACACATACGATGCCTATATTAATTTCACTTGAGTGCTCTTATCGCACTAATTAGACATTGAAGAGGAGCTGACGCATGGGAAAACTGTTTTCTGAACGCTGTGTTAACAGTAGGATTATAAGCACCTGGGATATTCTCGCTATTCTCTGCATGCAAATAACATTCTGCAAACAATTAAACGCACCCATTAACATAGTGGGGGTGTGGGATGAAAAAGAGCAAGTGTTAAGAGTGAAAAATGGCATGCCCTTCCTATGCCTCCCTCATTCAGCGGATGCCGAGTACCTTCGAACATGCTGCACAGACACACCCTCGGGACGCAGAGGAGTCACAACAGTACACTCGGCAACATCTCGCACACTCTGTTAAATGCAAAACTCTAACGATCTGACAGTGAGCCCCTCGCCTCTCGAACGTTTTCTCCATTTTTTGTAAAGATACCACAGATGTCAGGAGACCCTCCCCTCTCTGAAGAAAGGGAAATCGTTCCTTCTTGCCCCTCCTCACAGCCCCCAACACTTTCATTAGAAGCGGCTCCACAAGTTCCCAGGCTCGAGCCCCTAAGGAGGCAAGTTCAGCACCATGGAAAGGGCTCGAGTCGCGGGCGGAGGGAGGAAGACACCTAGGGGTTCTCCCCGGGTCACTCACCGGCGTCTGCTGCGATGGGAGTCCCGAGCGCTTGGTGGATCCCTGCTTGGAACTTAACCTTTTCCACGACTCGGCAAACCTGCCCCGGCTGGCGCTCCGGCTGCGCCTGCGGCTCTCCGCGCTGTCGTCGCGGTCGGAGCAGCCCCGCTCCATCTCCGCCGCATCCCTCCACTTCTTCCCCATGCTGTTTGCCTCGCTCTGCCAGGCAACACCCGGGCGCCGAGCTCTCGCTCCCTCCTCTCGCCGCCGGCTCTCACTCCAGCCTGCGCGCTGCTCTCTGTTGGCACCGCCTTTGCCTCCGCGGGCTCCTGCCACAACCCTGCGCTCCCTTACCGCCGCCGCCACCAGGCTGCGCTTGCGCCCGCCATTGGCTGAGCTGTCGGCTGGGGCTGCGAGCGCCACCTGCGTCCAAGCCAGCTTCCTTTTGCGCCCCCAAATTGCTCTCCACCCCGCAGGCGCCGCCTTCTCTGGGGGGCACACGGCCCACGCCTCGGGCTATTGATGCGCCCCTGGGGAGCTACCTCCAGTCACCCCAGCCCGCCCAGTCCAGTCCCCCAGGCCTGGGGACCAACCCCACCGCACCCCGAGCTGCAGGTGCAAGCCTATGTTCCCACACTGGGAGACTCCAGTTGACCTGGAGAAAGACAAGGAAGCATGCAACTTTGCCTTCCTTCCTTTTCTCTTTCTTCCCTTTCTCCTCTTTGCAGCAACAACTGCCTCCTTAAGTATCCTTGGGGGGAGTAGAGCTTCATCTCCTTGTCAGATGCCACACTAATTCCTTCTCACGCTTGCTTGGATTAGCCCGCCGGTTCTCCAACTTGGCTGCACATTGGAGTTACTTAATTTTTTTTTTTTATGCTGATAGTCTTCAGAGTCCAAATTAATTGCCCTGGCTGGGGCCTGGGAATCAGGATCTTTAAAATCTCTCCAGTTGATTTTTGCTGCTCTAACTGCAATTAAGCATCTTGGACAACCTGTGCTATGGGGACAGGGCAGAGGAGAGTCTTTGGAAGGGAAGAGGGTGGATGCTTCTTAAATCGATTCATTTTTCTCTCGGGGGTAGGAGTGGGGTATTCAGTTTACCCTCACACTCCCAAGGCCAGGATGATGATACAGCAGTTAACGCAGTGAGGATGATGTGTGATCTCCTGTGTGTGGAATATTCTTTGACATCCCCACCTCATCCTTGGTTCATCTATCTGCCTTCTCCTCATTAGAAGGAAATCCAGCAGTCTCTCCTCAGTTTTGTATCAGTTGTTTTACCAGACTGAGCTGTCCCCGTGTTCAAGAATTTCCTTGATCAGATAAGAGAGAGCCAATGGGGGTGTCACAAATTTACAAAAGCTGAAACAATGACCTTACTCCTTATTAAAGGGAAGAAGGCCTAACATCCCTCCTGGTTGAAAAGAGCTGTCTGGTTGCTTATCTGTTGCAATGGCAACAGATGTATTTTCATTTCTTTCCGAAATGGAGCATTCTCTCTCCAATTTGAATAAGGCCAGGTCCTTCCAGGAGGAAAAGGTAGAAAGGGATTAAGAGGGAAGGGGAGAGGGTGAGAAATGCTGTAAGAAAATTTGTGTTGCGGTGCCAGTTGTGAAAATCATAATCTGGGTTGTCAGTGGTCAGTCTGATTAAGCAGAGGCTTTGGAACTGACTAGTTCTCATGAATGGAATACAGAGCTCTAAAATCCCACAGCTGTACACTTGTGTGTAGTGCTACATTAATATTAATCCTGTCATTTTAAGCAAAGGGATTCACAGGGCACACTTCCTACCTTTTTAAACAACCCTCTGTGTCCAGAAATCACACACTCATATTAAACAAAATGAAGCTCTAAACAATGTTTGCAACACACAATGTCATTTGATGAGAAAACCACAGGCTCCATTTTGCATTTCCTCGCTCCCTGTTTAAGTTCATGGATTTGAAACTATTAGTGACATTTCACGGAAATACAATAATTCGGTCCAGATTTCTCCCCCTCACAAAAATGAATCAAAATGATTATGCATAGTTTACAGATTAGACAGGTATGAGAGCTAAATACCAATTAGGGAGTAGAAAAAAAGTCAGCAAATTAGGACTTAAAGCAGTTGTTTGCCTTTTCCTTTCGTTGTCAACAAAGGGGAATATAAGTGAAAACTTCTTAGGAGATGAAAAGCCTGTGTGCTAATCTGGATGCCTTGAAAGTTCATTCTTTTGCTATAATGGTAAAAGCCCTGTAAAGGAGTTAAGAGGGGCTTTCACAGATGTATCAAGGCACATAATCCAAGAACACTCACTTCACAGAGCCACAAGACCCTGGTTCACCCGTATCAGCCCATTAAGGAGGAAATAACACTGCTGTCAAGAATATCTACCATGGCGGTGCCTGGGTGGCTCAGATGGTTAAGTGTCTTCCTTGGGCTCAGGTCATGATCCCAGGGTCCTGGGATCGAGCCCCACGTCAGGCTCCCTGCTCAGCAGGGAGTCTGCTTCGCCCTTTCCCTCTGCCTCTCCCCCTGCTTGTGCATGCTCTCTCTCTCTCAAATGAATAAATAAAATCTTTTAAAAAATAAAATAAATAAAATGAAATAGAAAGAATATCTATCATGAACAACGGCACCAGGACATCCATGAGTATTCAGAGCCCTGGTAAGTTTTTTAGATACATTTAGAAAAATTCAAAGAGTAGTGATTGTATATGTTATTTTTTTACCTGTTTGGTCCAAAAATGAGCCTTGTATTGCTGCTACCTTAAGGCTGTGTTTTAAAGCCTTGTTAGAAGATGATCTCTGCATTTCATTTTTGCACTTGACAAGTACAAGAAAAAATATCTAGGAACTGCACAAGAGGCTAAACTAGATGTGATTATAGACAAGCAAAATATTGACCCTTTCCTCTTCTGATGTTCATTTGTCTTTTCCCAAATTTTCTAATAACTAGGAACTGGAAAACTACATGGAAAGTCTATCATTTTTCTTACAAGTTAGCAGAGAATGGCAGCATCAAAGCTAAGAACACGTTTAAAATCACCAGCACTGAAATTCTGGAATCAAGGCTAGAAGCCATTTCCAGAGTAACTTAACTTTACTGGAAGAGTCACTGCAATTGCAAAAGTGAGTGTAAATACATCAAAAAACTATTGGGAAGTATGCCATAAACCTTTTTTTTCCTCCGTGGTTTCTATGCATTAAATTAAGGCAAAAATTACTTACATTGTTATATAATAGATATTCTACATAAAAATGCAAATATATAAATCTTTATGTACAAATCAATCCAAATATAATATAGTGAAATGTTCTGAAAAGTGAGCTTTAAGTAGTATTTAAAAAAATTATCAAGAAAATATCAAATGCCAACAGTCTTTCATTAGCCCTACACACTCTATGAACCTTACATGATCCTACCAGCCTGTCACATGTGTTGAGTGTATAATCAGAAGAAACTCTCTCCAAAACCCATTTGCTCTAAGTCAGATGGTCATGAACTTTATTGCAAAAGAGTTAATAGGAAATATCTTTTCCTTTGGTTATTCCAGGACATGGAAACCCATGGGCATACCCAGAGACTAACATGATCAAGCAAAGTACAAGAGGGGAGGGTAAACATAGAGAAAGTGATGAAAACTGAAAAGCCATGTTTGTTCCAAAACCTCTCTTTGCAAAATAAGAGAATATCAACTATATTTCATCAGTTTTAACACTCCCAATTTTTCACATTTTAACACTCTCAAATCAGGATGCTTTTGAAAAAGGAGCATATCTCAGCTTCAGTATAATATGTTATATGGAATCATAGAGTTGAATGGTGAGTTACATGTTTATAGATCTGACCTTAGAAACCCAACAAGCTGTCATTCACCCTTTGCCTACACATTCAGACCTCAGCATTAGATATCTGCTTTCTTATAAGCAGGACATTTCCTTATTAAACAATTTTAAGCATTAGGAAGCCCATCTTTATAAACTAAGCTGAGATCCATGCCTCCACCTTTATTTTAAACTCTGGAGCCACACTAATTTAACATATGTGCTCTTCCAAGTGATAGTCATCAGGTATTTGAAGAGGGCCTTTACAACTCCCCTAGAATATCTCTTCTCTTAAGCCAAATGATGTCTAATTCCTTCTGTCACGTCCTTACACACACGGGGAAGCAAAGTCTGAATTGGCACTCTTGCGTACTAAGAGAGATTTTTAAATGTGACTGTTAAATGAATTTGGGGCCAACTGCTTTGTGAATTCACTAAGAGCATAGCCACTGTGACTAGACTCACAGACAAGTAGGCTTCGTCAATGCCTATGAAGCTGGAGACAGGATGTAGAATCTGCATTTAGTCATGATTAGATTCCCTTCAGTAGACACGAGGGCTGAGTCTCACACAAAGCCAAACAACCGTGAGAGTTGAAACAATTATTCCTGTAACTCGAGCACAAAATCTCCCAAAGCCCACGACTATTAATCAAGACAAGGAGCAGTAGGGTTATACTGGTTTATGCAAATTGGCCATCTATGTGGATGAAATTCTCTGGGTGATGGCTTCCTGAAAAATTATCCTCCTTCTTAATGAAAAATAATCGCGTATCTTCTCTGGAATACCTGCTGACAAGCCTTCCTGGTTACACACCCCATCACGTCCTCTCTGCAGAGGTCAGTGCAGGTCAGAGAACCTGGCTACAGATCTGCTGTTTCCTTCCTCCCTCTCTCCCTCCGTCCCTACACGTCTTCTCCTCCTCCCTCCCCTTCTCCCTTCCTTCCCACCTATTAATTTTTCTGTAGACCATAGAACAAACAAAATCCTCCAATTGTCTAGGCTTCCTACACTTTAAACACCATTACGATTCGTAGGAATGTGGAGGATAATACCTCTTTATTTTTCATTGATGCATTTGCATAAATGCATATGTATATAACAGTTGTCCCTCTTTCTATATACAGTTTTCTGAAATTGTATTTCAAGATTAAGAGATAATGACTATGGTAAATGGTATAAAAATTATGAAAGTAAATAATAATATAATTAAAAATAACACAACCATTAAAATTGGGGAGAGAAGGAAGAGAGAATAGAACAGAGAAGGGAGGAAAGGGAGATGTAACTGAACTAAATTCCCACTTACTATAAAATCATGTATAAAATAGATGAATAAAAAAATTCATAAATACTCCCAACAGGATGAATAAAACTCTGTAGATAGA